CAATATTACGAGATACTTGGGAAAGGGGATGCTTGAGCACGAACTATCAACAAAAGAGGAAAAGTTTGGATGACCGGCAGCAGAACGAAGTGAAGGAGGATAAGATCAACAAAGGAACCAGCATGGCATTAGTAACTCACATTTAGGTCACACATCAACAGATCTAAATCTATATAACAGAATGCTTGGATTCTCCCAGGATCCTAACCAATCGAACAGGTCCAACCCTAGAAGCACAAATATTTGCATTAAACATGTTGATAGGCAAGAGAAAGGGGGGGGGGACAAAGGTCAATCGTCACCGCAAAGGAGAGGAGAGGAGGAGGTGGGCAGGATGAGAGGGACAACGATGGTGCCTCACCAACGCCAGGTTGGGAGAGCAAGAACCAAGCACAAACTGGAAGAGAGCGTGAAGTTGACGAGGGCATGAGTGAGCGGCGACGACATTGGGGGTGAGATTGCACGCGAAAAGGGAGGTGACCCTTAGGGTTTACTGCACGCATCACCCATGTTCCCGCCTGCATCGCTCGAGCTCTCACAGGATGTGCTTTGATGGTAGACTGAGGCAGGATGTGCTTTGAGCCACATGTCGTTGTTGATTAACTGTGGTTTCATTTCGTTGTTCTTGTTAACGGCAGGTCATCAGGTGAGGTGGTTTGCTGATTTGGGAACTTTCTTGTACTGGTGGCATGGGTTATGCACTATTTAGACACGGTGTGAGCTCCAAATAAAAAAGAGCATTCTAATGAACTCAAAAACATCTGTCATGTTTTGTAATACATATGAACGAGATATTTTTGCTCTCAAACTCTAAAAACCAATTATATTCCTTTGATCATATACACTGAAAAAACTTATATTATGATTGTAACATGGTAGTATATGTGGATTTATACCGTCTAAATTTAAACAGCAGCCCTATAGATTTAAAAACATGAAGTGTGTATTTTTTCCACACAGCTCCTAATTAAGATCGTTGTTGCACATTTTGGTTTGGTAATATGAGTATAGTTTTCTGCAAGATGCTAATATCAATTGGAGGGCGCTATACCAATTTTTAAAATGTATTTGCTAAATGTTATTGATTTTCGTTCATGTAGATTCACTTCATAGCTTTTCTTTGCATAGATTATAAGTCAGTGCATGCAGTGTGAGTGTCATTTTTCAAAAATAAGAAGTTTCAGTTATTTTCTAAAAATGATTAAAACCTGACTAAATCTTTAGAAAAGTTCATACTAATTCATTATAGCTCAAAAAAATTAAAAAAACATGTATATAACTTTTTCTGAAATGAGCCCTAGTAGTGAAGCTATGCTACCATGCATATGGAACATCCGATTTCTGTTGGGATTTTAAGTTTGATCAAATTTTATATTTCCTTCTACCACATCACAACTTTAAATACTTGTGTGCCGCACGTGCATGTCCACTAGTTTTCATAAAGTTTCAAGGCTGCCAATGACAAGTACACAAGTATACACTAGTGGTAAGTAACTTTCCTCTAGAGTGCGAGGTTAATGGTTTGAAACCTGGTTACAATTCTTTTTTCTTATATTTTCGCTAAGCATTGTGATCCAGAACCTTGGCGATTGCAATGATTTATGTTTTCGTTGCTATATGTACAACTTTTTTTTTGCAACGCAGACGACTATTACACACAACAAAATATATTCGTTGCAACATAGACGCGCTATCGCAACCATCAACTAAAGCGTTGCAATATCATCTCAGTATTGCAATGCCCAAGAAATAGCCCGCAACGCAAATCAAATCGTGGCAATAGTGACAACTTATTGCAACCGATTTGCAATGGTTGCGATAACACTTACTTGTTGCAACGATCTTCGGACTTAGGGCCACGAAACAATTTGCGTGGCAGAAAAACAATCTATCACAACCAAAAGTGCAAATGGTTGTGAGAACACCCCTTATTGTAACCATTTCCTCTTCTAAAACTATGAAGGTAGAAATTGGATACTTTGCTTTGTATTATGCAGTTTTTAAGTGTGGGAGCTAATAGATGGATTTTCTTCCTCTATTGAACTGAAGGTATGGTTCTATAGGCTATAAGGACAAAATTTACAAATTACTATTGAACTGAAGGTATTCGTACCATTCCTTTCTTGCATCTCTTGCTGCTTTGTCTTTGCCCAATTCTCAAATACATATCAATACCACAGCTACTTCTTAGTGTCTTAGTGCTTGCAGTTATAGGCTTTTGAAGAAAATTAGGTGTAGCCTGCCATGGTGACCTACTGCCTTCACAACTCTTCTGAAGAATTGTTGAGGGACGACAACAAGCTACGCCCAAAAGGATAAATGGTGAGACTGTACTCAACTCTGGCACTTCCGTTGTGTGATTCAATTGTGCCCCTAATGCTCAAACGTGGTGTGGCGAATTTTAATTCTTTTGTAGTTCATTGTGCCATGCTGGAACAAAATTGTGAGATAAGTTCTCGGATTAATTCTAAAACTAGGAACAAATTGTAGTGTACAGTACCATGCCGAGAGCTGCTATTGCATTTCCATGACGCGTGTATATGCCTTCCACATATTGCTTTTGATTTTGCAGGTAACACCCATTAGGGTGCTGTTAGAAAGAATATCTTTTGAACAATGACATATGAGAATATATAGTCATGATTATCACTCTTTTGTATCTTTTTACCCTCATTTGAAATCAGCCAAGATGACTGCTCAGTCTTTTATGATATTTTTATTCCGCTTTTATTGAGCTGAGGCATTTGGCATATGGAGTGATATGGACCATTACATATATATGGTCCTTTTTGGCATTCTTAGTGAACTGAGTCACTTTGGTATATGCAATGATGGCCTACTTCACCCTGCCAACAATCCAATCCTCTTTCCTGCACTCAAATCTGCATCACTCAAAAATGCTATTTTGGGGCATAGCTATATACTACTATATGATGTTTAGCTTTGGTTTGTTTTTTAGAAGGCTTAGATATGCTAATTCATTCGTCATACAAATTTGATTCCTACAGAATATTTCACACTTCAGATCTCTTCCAGATTTTAGTGCTATGTCCACGCCGAAACTGCTATTTTCCCCTGATGCTCCGTGCAGCTGATGTCTTTTTTTTTTGGTACTGCCTGTGATGAAAATAAGCTCTCATGTAACTTGAGAATATATACTGATGATCTTCGTAGGTTTGAGGCTGTTATGTTGGGAGGTAAGTAGCAATGCTCATTCTCTATCACTGCCATCCTTCGTATCGGATGTTCTACATCATGATCTATTGACACCTTCCAAATTTCAAATACTTGAATGCTTCTTTATGATTCTAACGAATCAGGGTTACCACTCTAATACTGCCATACATGTAAATACAGCTTTCGCCCAATGTTTCCAATTATTTTTTAAAAACTTTTTTAGTTGTTGCTTCAGGCGATGTAGTCATCAGATAGTTTCAGGATATGTCTCCGACGTATACAGACTGGATTAGGATTCTCTTTCATGCACACATTCAGCCATTTTAATTCTTATGGCAGGCCATTTACTCATCTGATATTTTATATTTGACCTACATTTATGATCTAAATTTAAAGATTTGCCATGTATGAACTGAGCTAGAGCACTGTTCTTATGGCAGGCCATTTACATGTATGGACTGACCTAACACAACATAACCGAGCATTTTCTTAATAACCAGATATTTGTCAAGATGTAACTAATGCATAATAATTAATGGAAATATGTTCACTACTCTTTGCGACCCCGATTTCCCCCCTTTTTTGATCATAAACTTTGTAATCACTAATGTTTTGCTAACTTATTCTAACTATCTGTGGTGTGAAGAAAAAGGTCAGCCCCTGTGTCTACAGATTCAATATGTTGTCTTCTACATCTTTTCCTGATATCATAAATGGTGAGGACGGTAGGATTGGCCAAACTGCATGATAAGCTTATACAGTGCACTCTTACATATTTGGGTTCGTATGTTTGCAAGTGAACCAATTATGTCCGATGGGCCTGTAATGGTCCATTTGTTCCACAAACACTCTAGGTAATTGCATCATTCCCTTTTATACTGCTAAGACTTGAGCAGCCCGTGTACAATAAGCTACTTTCCTTGGCCTTTTACCACTAAGTAGTTGTTATAGACAGATTTACTTCTTGCAACCATATATATCCATCGATTACTCCATGATTTAAAAAGGAAATTACGTCCATAGGTGCTATTTTGTAATAGTTATAAGTACAGGCACATGCCTTCGTTTTTTCCTACTCTGTATTATCTCGGATTTCAATAGAATGAGCGTGTATTCTCACCAAAACTTGAGTAGATGCATGCTATGTTTATTTGTGCAATACCTCTCTGCTATTTCCTATTAATGTAGCATTGCTTCTGTTCTGTATTTCCCATATGGTCATTACTGAAATTATTTTTAGATGCTTCCAAGGATACCATCTGATCTTCTAATCCTGTGGTTGGAGGACAAGATCATCATGGCTGTTAGTCACAGTCTGAAGCTGCTTGCTGGCTATTCTCTACAGTTCATCCCAGTGACTTCGTCCCATCTGGTAATTGTGATATGCACAGCCTGTCATACAACCTCTGTTTTTTTATACATAGAAATGAGTTATTAAGTTGTTTACTGCATCAGTAGAATAATTAGGTTTAGCTATTTTTGGAGATCAATTGAGGTAGCCCATATAGAATGACAATGCACAAAGTTTCCTCAGAAAATGAAGGTTGATAATTTTGGAGTGAAGCTACATAAAATTCTAATTTTTTATTTATACATGAATGCTATATACATCAACTATCCAGGAGAATATAATAGGCGGCACTGATGAACTGATTTCCTGAACCACCATAGTGGTTGGTGGCTTCTATTCATGCACATTGCATTACGATTCTTTTTTGAACATCAGCTTTGTTATTTTCTCGGAATATCACCTTTGTTTGGATTCAGCTCGATGTGTTGTTCGCGTCCAGCTACCAAGCATGGGATTTCATAAAATGGCCGCGATGGCCTTTCCTATTTTTCAGGTTTGTTTAACCTTCAGGATGAATGCTAGGTATCTCCTCTTATTTCTTTTCCTTTTCTTTCTCCTTACTGTTCCAGCAGTTATGGATATTGGCTCATTGATTTACATTGGTGTTATCCTTTTTAGAAGAAAAATTGCATTGTTTGCTGCACCTTTTTTCCAACTAACCCTTTGTTCCTTCCCACACATTTATACAGCAATAAGAATTAATATGTGATCTACGTGCAACTACAGGTTGGAAATGGAATCACCAACCGTGAAACCAATCCGATGGACTTGGGAAGACAAACCAAACACTTACCAAGGTGCGACCACATCACCAACCAACTCAGAAGAATCATCCCACAGATGCAGCTGAACTCAATACCTTCCATGACTTCGTCGATCCAGGTAATACCGTTCTCAATACTAACGAGACCTAGGGATGAAGACATAGGAGATTTCCTGTTATTCTCCTCAAAAGTACACAAGCAATCTAAGATTTAGTTAGGTCATGGATTCCTTATGGGATGTTTTTTGAAGGGTGGGTGGATAATGTTCTTTCCCGTCCCAAGAAAAGGGAAACGGTTCATTTAATGTGTGCCCTGTTTGCGATTCTAAACATTAAAACATATATGAATCACTGCTAGATAATTCTAGACTTCCAACATCAATTAGGAAATGATAAACTTTTAATTCCATTTGTTATGTTACGGCTTCCTATATTTCACATGTTTGCTAGGTGCAGCTTAGGTGTGATAGAAATAGACCATGTCATGAGGCCTGTACAAATGAGTCTCCATGCCCTTCGCATACTTCCTTACCCGTTCGGCTTGCTGAAACTTGGCTGAAATTGGCTGAAAAACACTGTTCTGGCTGAAAATGTTGGGAGAGAAAAACATTGTTCCGACTAAAAAAAGAAAACAAACAAGCCGGATTTAAGGTAAGCCAAACGGAGCCAATATTGTTCAAATGCGCAGGCTCATCTTGTTATTGAATTCACAGACACCTGCATCATCAATTAATCCTGGTGAAACACCCCTAAAAGATCTTGCCACTGGGTAAGTGACACTACTGTGTCGTAATTAGTCAACCAAGCATGCCAAAATTTTTATTTTAAAATTGTTTACCTACGAATTTCATATTTGTTCAGTCTGAACCACATTACCAGCAGCAGCGAGCCACGCTCATAGGCAGCTGTTCAGTGACAGCGACGATTCTGCCAATGTGAGCTCATGCACATTTTTTCGATTACAACTCCTAAAATTATACCCACCAAAATAACTGTACTAATCTTCTCATGCCTTTTTGCATCCTCAAGCCTGCTAAATTGCTTTGCATCTTTTCTCCAGGAAACGGTGCTAGATGAGAATTTGGAAACTACCACAGCTACACAGGATGGCAAAGACAGTCCACCTGCAGTGTCGCCACAGCGCAAACCCAAGAGGTTTGATTGAAGACTGCGACGCACGAGGACGCGCCCTTTCCACTAATGTAATATATCCATCTTGTCTACCTTGACAAACCTCAGCATATACACTTATCGGCGCGCGCAAAGGCGCGCGAGTATATAGTAGAAACAAAAACACGTCCTCCACATTCTGATGGAGCTACCACCATGGAGTTCTCTCCTCGCCGTGGTGCTATTCCTTGTAGCCGTGCTCCTTCGCCGGCGGTGGTCCAGCTCTAGCAAGTACATGCTGCCGCCGGGCCCTCGGCCATGGCCGGTGATCGGCAACCTGAACCTGATCGGACCATTCCCGCACCGCTCAATGCACGAGCTCTCCACGCGGCACGGGCCACTCATGTCGCTGCGGTTCGGCTCCTACCCCGTCGTCGTCGGCTCATCCGTCGACATGGCGAAATTCTTCCTCAAGACCCACGACCTGGCGTTCCTCGACCGCCCCGCCGTGGCCTCGGCTAGGCACATCCTCTACAATGGCTCCGACGGGCTGTGGGCGCCGTACGGCCCGTACTGGTGCCAGGGGCGCAAGCTGTGCCAGAACGAGCTCCTCAGCGCGAGCGGGATCAAATCAACGGAGCATATCCGCAGCGAGGAGGTGCGCTGCATGCTGCGGGATGTGTCGGCGGCCGCGTCCCGCGACGGGGGCGCGGTGGTGCGGCTCAAGGACCACCTCTCCATGGCGAGCTTCAACGTGGTCTCGCGCATGGCGCTGGGCAAGAAGTACATCTTCAACGGCGCCGGCTCGCTGATGGCGTCGGAGGCGTTCCGGTGGATGATCCAGGAGTTCTTCTTCCTCAACGGCGCGGTGAACTCGGGGACGTGATCCCGTGGCTCAGCTTTCTGGACCTGCAGGAGTACATCAAGAGGATGAAGAGGCTGAGCAAAATGATCGACCCGTTGCTGGAGCACGTGCTGGGCGAGCACAGTGAGCGGCGGCGGCGACAGGGCGAGGGCTTTGTGCCGAGGGACATGGTGGACCGGCTGCTACAGCTCGCTGACGATGCCAGCCTGGAGGCTCCCATCGAGCGGGATGGCATCAAGGCATTCATTCTGGTAAAGACTTCACTTTCGTTCACTCCATCTGCTGGTATATATGTCACAAAGAGGTGATCGACGCGCGTGAATGCCTGCAGGACATCATCGCCGCTGGCGCGGATACCTCAGCTGTTGCCACCTAGTGGGCTCTCTCGGAGCTTCTAAGGAATCCCGAGGCCATGGCCAAGGCCACGGGCGAGCTGGACCGTGTCGTCGGCGGTGGCAGGCTGGTCACGGAGGCGGACTTCCCGCGCCTCCCGTACCTGGAGGCTGTGGTGAAGGAGACCTTGCGCGTGCACCCGGTCGCGCCGCTGCTCGCGCCCCAGCTGTCCCGCGAGGACACCTCCGTGGGCGGCTACGACATCCCGGCGGGCACGCGCGTGTTCGTCAGGAGCGCTTCGTCGGAGGAGTTCCGGCCGGAGCGCTTCGTCGGGAGCGGAGTGGACGTGAAGGGCCGCGACTTGGAGTTCCTGCCGTTTGGGTCCGGCCGCCTGATGTGCCCGGGCCTCGGCCTCGGGATGAAGATGGTGCAGCTGATGCTAGCAAACCTTCTCCAAGCCTTTGCATGGAGGCTCCCCGATGGCGTGGGTGTGGACGACCTGAGCATGGAGGAGAAATTCGGGCTGTCCATGCCGCGAATGGTCCCGTTTGAGGCCGTACCTGAGCCCAAGCTCCCTGCTCACCTGTACGATGGGCCATGCCCATGACTCAGCCACGGACGCACGCGGCACGCTTGTCTGCCCGCTGCGATCTGCACTGCTCTGGAAGTATGATGTGGACTGTATGTTTTGTGCTCCTAAAAATCTATATGTATAACTATATTTATATCCAATTATTAAAGTACAGATCAGAATGTATTCGTTTGTCCTTCGCTCTCCCTTATACCTGTACTATGACACCTCATGTGTTAAATATGTGTTAAAACTTAAACGTGAGCGTTAAGCACTACGCCGAACAGTTGCCAGACCATCACCGCCGGGTATGATGGAGCCGACAGTGATTGCCTTTTACCGTTGGTTCACATAAGCCTGTGATTCAGAAAATTCAGAAGAAGTTATTCACCCAGCACCTGGCAGTGAAGACACCTATCAGTGTCGGATTAAGCCACAAACCAGAAGCGAGGATAAGTGTGATATCACTGCCAGCTCAAGTTACAATGATATATCACTGCCTGTTTGTTCGTGACTTGGCCCAGCAGCGATATGAAATTATCACTACCAAGTTTTCAGAGCTTATTAAGACTTATAGTTTCAGTGTACTTGAACAGCTCGTAAACTTCTGTTGTAATAATTCTACACTTTTTAACTTTGATGTATATTTTTTATGAAAAATGATGTGATGCTTGTGTTGAGCCATTCCTATATTGGATCTTGTATGTCTGAATGACGATCAGAGTTGTAAAAAGTAGTTTATTCAGATCCTCTAGGACATCGAAAGACTACCAGAATTATCTGATTCTCACATACCCAACAGTCAAAGACAGGTGCACCAACATAATTTAGATGATTTTGCCGCATGTACAAGTTAGAGTAACGTGTCCGGTGCAGACTCTGCCAACATGAATTGGAACACATAACATAGTCATTGTCATTGGATAAATCTCCAAGCCTCCGATGACCATATAAGTTAGAGCAACATGCATCCAGGCATGGTATATAGTTTTTTTCTCGAATACGTAAAAGATTTGCGAATCATTGTATTAAAAGAAGAGTTTAAAACGAGACATACAACGCGCTTCTATCGAGCGCCAAGAAGGTCGACCTAACACAGCCGTAGCTAGACCATCCTAATAAGAGACCTCTTGTTTCGCTATTAAATAAAAGGAAACAACCAATACCGACACAGCGGTGCGACCTAGGAGGTGGCCTTGCGTCTACGCGGCCGCCCGGACGAGCCCTTTTCAACGGCCGGAAAGAGCGCGTCCAGTGTCTCGGCGTTGGACGCAGTCAGGTTGCCGTCGAAGAGCTTGTCAAAGGCCTCCAACTCCGATGTGGATGGCGCTGATGGACCCTTGGTGTAGTCCATACGCTGCATGATCAACACCTCTCCTCGCTTGGAAGCAGGTACTCGGGAGAGGCTCTGAGCCACCAACTGCTTGCTCCGCCACGGCATCACCGGCTTAGCAGGAGGCTGCTTGGGAGACTCACGAATTAGCGGAGAGTCCTTCTTACGCGTCACTTCGTTGATGAAGCTGTCGAGGCAGCGTTTGGCGGAGCCATCGTTGTCCACTATCGGGTGGGTAATCACCAGCGGTGAACTGGGAGGTCCACCATCCACCATGAGGTCAACTGGTCCGAAGTCTGGTGGGTAGTTGTGCTCGGTGTGTGTCATCGGCGAGTCCACTGCCCACTGAATGGGGCACGGGGGTGGTGTCCGCAGCTCGTACGAGACCGCCACTGGGTCCACATCCACCATCTGGGGGCCTGCCACCGCCGGGGCCTCATCCTGTAGCTGAGGGGGCACCGAAGGTGACAACAAGCGCTCAAGGGAAGGCCACGCGACGAGCGAGGCTGCGAACTCCTCGACCATCGGGTCCTCCGTGATGTCATAACCACGTGTGGTGTCCGGGTACAGCGCCAACGTCAATGGGTCAGGCTCGACGATGCCCCTCCTGAGCTCCAACAGTGACCAAGGTGAAGTCCGATGCCGTCTGGGTGACCCCTGCCGACCGCCCGTGACTGTCGGTGGCGACACACGTAGCCGCGGCGGTGTCGCCCCCTTTAGTCGTCGCCGACGTCTCCAACGCCTCCAACGTGTCCGACGTCGGCGCCCACTGCCGCCGCGCGTAGTCGCATCAGGCACAGCTGCAGCCGCACACAGCACAGCTCCAGGCGAGGTCGGTGTGTCGTCGTGAGTACGTGGTCGGGTGCCCGAAGTACGTTCCCGGTCAAGTCGTCGTGGCCGGCCTTCTGTGGCACCTGATGTGCGGAGGCAGAAGGAGGTACCAACCGCCGCCGCTTGCAGTCCCGCGCGAGGTGTCCGAACCCCTTCACCGAAGACAGCTTGGAGCGGTGGCAGGTTGCCACCCTGTGTGCGGAGGAGAGGCAGTTGAAGCACTTCCCCCGCAGGTCAGCCAGGTAGCGGGTGGGGGGGGTGACGGCTCGCCGAAGATGCATTGCGGGCGGGGCGGCGTGGTGTCCCGCTTACACCGCATGACGACCCCTACGATAGGACCTCGGCAGAGCGTGGAGCGGGCCACCTGTGAACTTCATGTCCGGCTGCCGCTTCCTTGCCACGGACAGGAAGTCCATGAATGAGTCGCGGGCGTGGCTGATTGCGCTTGCACCGACGGCCTGCGCACGCTTGATCGGCTGGTCGGCCGCCAGCGCCAACAACAATGATGGAGCGCGGCCGCTCTCTCGCAGGCAGCGGCGACGTCCTCGGCGCCTACGGCTCACGAAGAACTGCGTCGAGGTAGGTGCTTGGGTGGACGGACAATGACGCTTCCACATCGGAGTCGCCAAGGTCATCGTCCGCCCAGTGACGGGCCTTGGAGCGCCCTGCCTAATTCCCCCCGGGTTGGAAGGGAGCGGCGTTGGGGCAGAGGGAGGATGACGGCCTCAGGGATGAGCTGCTTCTGTTGGTCTGGCGCCCATAGTCCCGAGGCCCAGACAGGTCGACGAGGAAGACGTCGAGGGGGTCGACGGCGAACACGAGGGCGACCTCAGAGGACACGGACCCAAGGGCGGGCCGCACGGCTCGAGGTCCATCCCCGAGCGGGGCTACTGGAACTGGCTGGTGCTGCCGCGCTGAGCAGGGTGCCGCGGGGGCCTCCTTGGCTGCCCGAGACTGCTGCGCGAAGGGCCCACCGCCTTCCTGGCCGTCGTCGTCCACGCCGGAATCCACCGGAGATGGCCGAGGTGGGCTCGTCGGCCGCTGTGTCCATGAGACCACGGAGGGCTTGTGGCCGTCAGATCCGGAGTCCGCGCTTCAAGATGAATTGGAACACATGACACAATTGTTGAATAAATTCTGAACCACAAGTCATCCAAGCAACGTGCAGCAAGCTACACATCCCATTGCAACGTACATGTATATTTACAAGTAACAATAAAACAGGGATATGTGCGTAATAGTAATCTTGGCTTTCTATTATAGTGCGTGGCCTCGTCTAATGTAATTAATTTTGGAACAAGTCCATCTTAAGTATATATTATTGCATGGAAGAACAACAACCTGATCTTAATATTACACTCTAAGGCCTCTTACGCTGGGTTTCATCCAAATAAAACTCATCTCCTCTCTCTTTCCTCATAATTTCTATGCAACATCATCATTTTTACTGATGTGTCACCTCATTATTAAATAGGAAGAAAACTCTCATTAGAACTGCCCAAATAACTAAAATAACACGCTGCAAGATAAAATAACAAAAAAGTTCAAACAGTAGGGCCGTTGAGAAAGAGGGAGACGACGAGATCCTTGAGATCGGCAGCAAAGGTGTAGGCATCTCTGCCGCCAAGGTATATGACCTCCAGCGTCTTGGTCAGGTTCACCACCAGCTGCGCGGCCGGCAACAGCGCGCTATCCATCTCCATGCACGACCGGTTAATCGCCCTCCACGCGTGCTCCGCCATCCCCGCGATCGCGGTCACCGCCGCCTCCCCTGACGTGCCGTGCTCCTTGGCGTAGCATTCCACGGAGCTCGCCACGTCCTTCTTGTTCTTCCCCTTCTTGTACGAAGCGAAGTCGTTGAGGAAACGAGCGACCTCTCCACTGGCGCTGACCACGTCCGGGACGCCGATCGCCCACTGGAACGCCTCCCTGGTCGCCGTGTCACTTGCACCCATAAGCAGCACCACGGCTAGTGTCGGGAACCCTGACGACATGACAGACACCTCCATGCGCTTCTTGAAGCTCGGCGCATATTTCTCACTGCACCATTTGGCCTCGTCCAGATAGTACTTTGATGACAGTTTAAACTGCGAGAAATTAATTAAACACGTTTAAATATGGTACACTTTAACTGATCGATGTATAATAACTTTCTTACCGCTTGCTTTGCATAGGAGACGCGGTACTTCTCATTTGGCTGCAAACTATGCTCAAACTCTTGAAAGTTCCTCACAAGATTGATGTAGAACATTTTCATGTATTCTGGAAGAATGGAAGCAGTGCTTTCATCCCAACTGCAGACAATGACACACGTATGATATATATATATATATAATCAGGCCATGCATAAACCTCCAGCAGCTTGAGTTGATATGCTGTTATATTCTACTCTCTCCATTCCAGATTATACATAATACGTTTTAGCTTTTCTAAATACATAGATTTTACTGTGCACTTAGATATACAATATGTCTAGATACATAGTTAAAGCAACATATCTAGAAAAGCCAAATCATCTTATAAATTTAGAGCGGAGGGAGGCAGAGCTCAGTAGAGGCCAAACTAGGCTCCGGCACCTGCTTGCCTGCGACCCCTTTTATAGTAGCTGGTAGATTCACGAAGGAAGAACCACGGCAAGCTTACAAGTTACGAGTAACGAGAAGCAAGCTCGCATGCAGCAAAGCAGTAATACGTGTAGTACTCGCTAAGCACCCGCAGCCGGTGGTACGAGGTTGTGTCTTCAGTATAAGTCAGGCACCGGTCAGATGTTTTGGCAGCTAAGCGTCAAACTACTGTATCACAACTGAATAATCGCCCCCCCCCTTCATTTTGTAGCACGCTCCGTCACTGTATATATGTACCTCTGTATATCGTCGTTGAGTATATGGCATTCCTCTACCGTATAGCATACACATCGTATGTATCATCCATCAAGGACAGCAACCCGAATGTCTTGGCAAACAGCATTCGTGCACGAGAGTATTCCTCCTCATGGAACACCCCACACGTCCAGAAGTAGTTCTCCACTAACCTGTCTCGGGCGTAGTTTAGTTTCACATTGCCATAGAGATCCTTCCACCACCTGCAAAAAAATGAATGAAAGATCAATTGACTGATCAACACAAATTTCCAGCGACTGCAAATTTCAGAATATCTGAAGTGACTACTCAAGAAGTTTCTTATTCTATTGATACAATTAATTATTCTCCTTTATATATAATAATTAAGTATGTAGTATGAATCAACGTAAATAATTAGGCAAGATAATATATATAATTGAACAGGTAGTCTACTTACAGTGGCAGGTCCTTCAGCTCCCTGAGGTGAAGAAACCTGATCAAGTCAAAGTCCAGCCTCGCGAGCTCCAAGAGCATGGCGTCGTGCCCCTCTTCTTTGCCATACTCGACGACGTAGTGCATCGTCTCCAGCCGCTTCGGGAGACGTGCGAGAGGGATGTCGAGGGCACGGCACACCTGCTCTTCCAGTGGCGACGAGAGCCTGCCCTTCATGGACTAGAAGTGACGCCTGGAGAAGGAGATGGCTTCGTCGAGGGCCTGCTCGTCAGGTGTCGCCATGTGAGCCGCATCGTATAGGCTCAGCAAGCCCCTCGGGTCACTGAAACTGCCCGTCGTGTGGCATCTTTGAATCTGTCGAATACATCAGCAGGGACCCAGACGCCATGTTGCCTAAGTAGACGAAACCGGAGAGCAACGGCATGGAGGCCGTCGTCGTCCTTGGACGTGGTGCCGCCTGAGCCTGATGACGACTCGGGCAAACTCTCGCAACTGTTGATGCGTTTCAACGCGGCGTCAACCTCGTCGCGGAAGTGGTTGTCGATGCCGAGGCGTTGGAGCGCGTGTCCACCAGCGTCACCGTGTCAGCCACGCTCCTCATAGCCTCGCCGCCAGCGTCGAACATCCGGCCGCGCCCTCTCTCTCGACAGATTCAAAGCTGCCTCGTGATATCGCTATCCACAGTACAGCTAATACTATCCTAGCCAAAGCCATTGAAGATATATCGGTTGTCTGTTTGTTTCCAGATGTCTTTCCTGATGATTTGCCTGGATTACCTCTGGATCGTGAAGTAGAATTCAAGATAGAACTCATTCCGGATACGGCTTCTATTTCTCGAATGTCCTATAGAATGCCGCCCAATGAGTTGGCTGAGCTAAAGATTCAGTTGAATGAGCTATTAAAGAAAGGTTTGATTCGGCCTAGTTCCTCTTCTTGGGGTTGTCCGGCTATCTTTGTGAAGAAGAAGGACGAGTCTCTGCGCATATGCGTGGATTATCGCCCCCTTAATGCTGTTACTATCAAGAACAAATACCCTCTTCCTCGCATCGATATTCTGTTTGATCAGCTCTCCAAAGCTAAGGTATTCTCCAAGGTTGATTTGAGGTCTGGCTACCATCAGATCAAAATTCGTCCTGAAGATATACCTAAGACAGCTTTCTCTACTTGTTATGGCTTGTTCGAATATCTTGTCATGTCCTTTGGGTTGATAAATGCTCCGGCACACTTTATGTACCTGATGAATTCGGTATTCATGCCGGAATTGGAGAAGTTTGTCGTCGTGTTCATTGATGATATCCTTGTATATTCTCAGAATGAAGAAGAGCATGCTGAACATCTGAGAATTGTTTTAACTCGATTACGTGACAACCAGCTTTATGCTAAGTTCAGCAAGTGCGAATTCTGGTTGAACAAGATACCTTTTCTGGGTCATGTGTTATCTGGAGATGGAATTTCGGTTGACCCTACTAAGGTGCAAGAAGTCCTAGAGTGGAAGGCACCTACTACGGTCACAAAAGTCCGAAGTTTCCTGGGTTTGGCTGGCTATTATCGTCGCTTTATCCCGGACTTCTCTAAAATCGCCAAGCCCATGACTCGACTACTTCAAAAGGATGAGAAGTTTGTGTGGACTCCGAAGTGTGAAGAGGCTTTCCACACTTTGTGGACCTTACTAACTTCTGCTCATGTATTGGCACAACCTGACATCGAGAAGCCTTTTGATGTCTACTATGATGCATGTGGCACCGGTTTAGGGTGTGTTCTTATGCAGGACGGCCGAGTCATTGCTTATGCTTCGCGCCAGCTTCGAAAACATGAAGTTAATTATCCTACCCATGACTTAGAGCTAGCCGCGGTTGTTCATGCCGTGAAGATTTGGAGACATTACTTGCTAGGTAATGTGTGCAACATCTATACTGACCATAAAAGTCTCAAGTATATCTTTACTCAACCCGAGTTGAACATGCGTCAACGACGATGGTTAGAATTAATCAAAGATTACAACCTTCAAGTGCACTACCATCCTGCCAAGGCAAATGTGGTTGCTGATGCCTTAAGTAAAAAGACCCATTGCAATTCTTTAGTTAGTGAAGACTTTTATCTGATATACCTCCTTCATCCTATAGTACTCCACAATATCACTGTGGATTGCTCTCTTAGAAGTCAAATTATTAAACTCTAGAAGACTGATGTGGGTGTGTTTCATATCAAGCGGAAGATGAAAGAGCAGGAGACCAAGCACTTTAGGGTCGATGACAAAGGAATTCTCTGGTTTAATGATAGACTTGTAGTACCCAAAGACAAAGAACTTAGAAATCAAATTATGGCTGAAGGCCATTCTTCTAGATTGTCCATCCATCCTAGTAGCAGTAAAATGTATCAAGATCTCAAGCTGTATTATTGGTGGACCAAGATAAAGAAAGAAATCACAGCCTACGTGGCAAGGTGTGATAACTGTTGCAGAGTCAAGGATATTCACATGAGGCCCGGATTATTGCAGCCACTCTCTATTCCAGGCTGGAAGTGGGAAGAAATTGTTATGGATTTCATTATTAGGTTACCCACTACCAAAAAGGGTTGTGATTCCATCTGGGTCATCGTAGATCGTCTAACCAAATTCGCTCACTTTATTCCGGTCAAGTCTACCTATCACCCTCATAATTATGCTGAGATTTACTTTCAACAAGTGGCACGTCTCCATGGTGTACCCAAATCCATTGTTTCAGATAGAGGACCGCAATTCACGGCTCGCTTTTGGGAGTGCTTACATCAGAACCTTGGCACTCATCTAATCCGTAGTTCTGCCTATTATTCACAAACATCGGGATAGACTGAACGTGTTAATCAAATTCTTGAAGACATGCTTAGAGCTTGTCTTATCTCTTGCAAAGGCTCTTGGGAAGAATGGTTGCCTCTCGCTGAATTCTCTTATAACAACAGTTATCAAGAGAGTATCAAAATGGCTCCTTTTGAAGCTCTTTATGGCTGCAAGTGTAGGACTCCTTTGAACTGGGTGGAACCCGAAGAAAGAAGATTCTATGGTATTGATTTTGTAAAAGAAGCCGAAGAGCAAGTCTGAACTATACAGAAGAATATGACTGCCGCTCAGGCTAGACAAAAGAGCTACGCTGATAAGAGAAGAAAACCTATTGAGTTTGAAGTAGGTGACCATGTTTATCTAAAGGTATCCCCTATGAAAGGAGTAAAACGTTTTGGAATTAAAAGGAAGCTCGAGCCTCGATATGTTGGACCTTACCGCATTATCGAGAAAAGTGGAAGAGTAGCCTATAAACTCGATCTACCACGTGAAATGGGAGCTATATTCCCGGTATTCCATGTGTCCTAGTTGAAGAAGTGTCTCCGTATTCCCGAGGAAAGAATAGCAACAAGGAAAGTCAACTTGAAATCTGATCTTTCTTATGAGGAGAAGCCCGTGCAGGTTCTGGATACTCAAGAAAGAGTGACTCGTAGGCGAGTAGTTAAGTTGTACAAGGTAGTTTGGAGTAATCAAAGTAATCGAGATGCAACATGGGAGCGGGGAGATTATTTAAAGGAAAATCATCCATCTTTCTATACTAAATGGTACGCTTTCCAAATCTCGGGACAAGATTTTTCTAAGGGGGGAGGGCTGTAACACCCTAGGTGTTTGGCTTCTACAAAATTGCATTTCAATTCTTAAACATGTGCATCATCTATCTCATCATGCCATTGTCACTGAAACATGCATATGCAACATTCGCAATTATGTTTGTTTCATACTTGATTTCTTGTGAATGGTAGTAGTGCAACATGTGAATGCAACATGAGTTTCTTATACCTTGAAACATGGCAACATGGTAGGAATGTGGCAAGTTAAAATTGCAACAAAAATAATGAAACATGTGAAACATGGAATTACAACATTTGAGTGAATTGCTTGTTTTGTTGCTTCATCACATGTGATCATTAGAAATTAGTATAGCACTTGTGTAAAGTGGTTGATTATGGTCTAATACACCTTAACTACACTTAGGGTAATTGTTTGGACATTGTTCATGTGGACCAAAATGACCAAATTGCCCTTTAGGAGAGGTTTGACTTGAAATGAACCTCAAAGTGACACTGTTTGACTAATTCAAAAGTCCAACTTAGAGGTCTTGCATGGCTGTGCACTCTTTACCAAAGTTGTAGCTAATTTACCAAGGAACAAAAGTTGTTTTATGATCAACTCATGAAAATGGCTAGAACATGTTCAAACATGGCCCACAAGTCATTATTGATGCTGGATTCAACACTGAAAAATGTTTCTAAGTCCTAACTGCATTTTCAGTTGGATCGAGCCAACTTTGGCTTGATGTAACTTCTGATCCATGGCGAATTAGATGATGGTCCTTGAAAAGAAGTTGTAGATGGATGGTAGGCCTACAATTTTCATGTTCATGGTTTTTGCATTGGATAAACGGTTTAGCCGTATTAACATGTTGTAGTCGCGCTGTCAGGCGGTTCCAGTTGTCTGAATGTGAGCTACAGTAACTAACAGCCATCAGACAACGAACGCCGCGTGGGTGACACTCATCGCCGATCGCCTGCTCGCGCTGCCACGCGCCGCGGACGCCCTGGCACGGCCGGCCACAACTTGAGCTCACTCAACGCGCCTGTCAACCAGCTCACCAGTCCCATTTCCATTTCCTCCACTCGCCCGTAGCTCCGCAGCAACAGAGCAGCAGCTCTACCATTGCCGACCGGGCGTCGCCGTCGCCTAACTCGCGTGCCAGTGCAAAAACACGTCGGCCATCTTGCCTCTAGCTTCGCCGTGATCTCCTCTACCACCTCCACCTTTCAGTCGGGTCATTTGAGGCTTGGTAAGGGTGTATTCGCCATTTCTTCCACCGCCGCCATGGCAGGACCTAGCCGGAGTTGGCGCTTCACGCGGCCAACTGCCACCGCGGTCTCCCCATCCCCTCTTCCTTGCTTAGGTAGCTTGATAGCGAACTCCGGAAGCTCGTACCGAGCCTATCCGCGCCCTACGGGGTCGGGCCTCGCCGAAGCTGGCCAAGCCGTGGTCGTGCGCCGCCATGGCCGTCGCCACCCCCTTTAGCCACGGCAATAGCTTCAATTGATGGCACTGTTAGATGCGCATGGGTGAGGCGAACACCCTAGCACCGATGGCCTCGCCGGAGCTACCACCGACGATGAGTTGCGCCGCCGTCTTTCCTTCCTCCCCTGTCTGTCTCGCTGAC